CCCCCGCGATTTAATCTTCAAGAGCACGAAACCATTTTCACCATTTGACCCTCGGAAAATTACCATAACCCCAATAGTCACTTTTGCGCTTAAAGCCCTTTGGCCCCACACCAAAAAGTCATCATGAAAGTTTATCTTGTAATAGAATGTGTAGAAATAGGTAGTGGACCGAATGGAAAACCCCAGGAACTACTGGGATTCATGTTATAGTTGGTATAACCATGGGGGTTGGGTGGAGGCTGTACAAGCGTAGTTAACCACGGCCGAGTAGGCATTTTCCCTGTGGACATAATTCAAGGCGCATTACGCCTGGCCACGATGGAGTCCCCACTGGTGGTCGGGCGCACGCCACTACCGCACCTCTTTCCCACCCTCCACAATCACAACCACCTCTTTAGTCTGCCTGTAGTACCAGTGTTTCAACCAACTACACTTGAACCTTACGCCTCCAGTAATATTAGCTGTGGACACTGCATTGTCGTGAGGTCGCTGTGGTCTCCTTGTTGCTAGCTTTTGCGGGGCTTAGTAATTAATCCGTTCGAGTCCCTCGAGGACACTGCTTGGACCCTCGGTACACACATATTCAGGGGATATCCTGGGACAGGGATAAAAGATAGCGAGTTGCCACTGCCTGGGGCTCTCAGCAGAGATTCACCAGTGCTTAGTGCTCTCCTCCACCCGCTGATATCATGTGGCCGATGATGCTGCAGGCTGTTTTCACTCCGATCCGCTGGTCGCATCGTAATCGCTCCGGGATAAATAGTATTGGGAATCCCCGTTATTACTGATATTGCCACACCTGGGGCTCGGCTTCTCCAATCGGAATTAATCGGTACTTATGTTCGGGGACGGGGAGAGAAGCATTCAGTTTCCATTAAAAACGAATTTCAAATTAAATTCATCAAAAATAACATTTTTTTTATATTTGCGAACTTTGAAATGACGAGGGGTACCGCGGCAGAAGAAAATCAATCTGGACCGATTAGTAATTTCTCACGTTCATCACTTCAACTGGAAAAAATAAAAAATAGATCAATAAACAACCGCGATATGACTTTCTAGTGAAGATTTTTCACGTACTATCCAGTTTCATCTAGTCTTTCGGTCATAACTTTATGAAGTTATTTGATCGAACAATCTGATAACTCCACTTCGCAAACTCGCTTCGCCACAATGAAGTTGTTCAATTTTATACTCGATTGACGAGCGAAGAACCCACAAATGTTCCATTAAGATTATGTTACCGCACCGTTAATATTTTCTCATTTTTATTTTCTCCTTCTTCCACTAATGACTATTATATTTACAATGTTTCTTATTTCTCGTATTACTACTGTTCATGCCGCCTGTTTCCGACATTTTCCTGTACTAGGGGATAAATAAATAAATAAACGACTACAATGCGGCCTTTAATTGCAGATTATATTCAGTTTCATGGAATTGTTCGATTAAACAACTCATAAGATTAATATTTGTTTACAATATATCGGTGGGATTATTTACATCTTAAATTCAGGTTATTCAATTTGTTAATTACGAATATACTTCGCTTACGAGATTACAATATAAATGAGCGAAGTAAATGGAATAAGCGAGAATAATATGAGTTTTCACAGAATATCAGTCATCCACACAACCACACGGATGGTCTTTAGAAGGCAGTTTCTTCAGGTCCTCCCCTCATAACTTTATGAAGTTGTTTGATAAAACAACCTGATAGCTTCACGTTGAAAAGCCGGCGCGGCGGGATGAAGTATTTCAAGTGAATTGCTGAGAATTTCTCTTGTAAGAAACCCAACGCCATCTAGCATAATTCGCCAGTAGCAAAGAGTCCCATCATCGCCGAATGAAATCGCGCAATAAACGTTGAAATAATGACGGGATAATATGTAGTCTCGAGATACCTGCCAGTCGGCGTTGCTAAATTACCAGTTTTCTAAGAATCAATTCATCACCTAGACGGCAAATAATGAGGCAATTAAAAATCATACCTGAGTGTTGGTTTTTTTTTTCTTTCTCTCCACCGCAAATGATGTATAAATGGAGGACTGACGGTGGAGCCATTATTTATGTGTAATAAAAATCGGATCGGTCGTAATTCCAGCGGACGACGAGCTGTTTGAAAAATGGATTATTATTATCATTTCTTATTCTAGTGGGATTACGGGAGGGGGGTAATCTACACTTGTGGAGTGAGCATCCCCTTGATCCTTGCAGGTAGTTTCCTCATTGCCATCAAAACAGAGGAGGAAAACACCACTGGGGCATAACCCAAACCACCCTCTTCTGCCACCGTTCGCGGCCGTCATGGCTTCCGCCGGCGTGCGATGATAAATTACGTACTCACGGTAATTGCCTTCTAAGTTATGGCTTATAGCGCGTATGAAATATGGTATCGCTCTGCACGCAATTACTGCCCGGTTATTTATCTCAGGAGCCATGACTCTGCGTTCCTTCCTCCACTTTCTACCTTCACTTGCCCATCCCCATTCCTTCCTCACCACCTCCTCACTCCCTTTCTCCGGGTATGATAGGTACTCACTCATCCCAAGATACTGCATTTAGTGTTGCTGCATATTTATTTTATCGCTTGTGGAGGGAAATTCTAATGATCTAGCGGTACTTTCACCGGCTTTTCTGTCGTACTTTATTCGGGTGGATCATGATTCCTGGGGTAATGGGGGAATTAATGTAATGAGGTGCGAAGTTATGGGGATTTATTTAGGGGTGGGATTTTCATTCATTGGAAGACAACGACGGAATTGCTGCTTCAATATATATATATACATAAATCGTTTTGTTAATAATTATATCAAAATTGAAATTATCGTTTTGAGCTCTAGTCGAATCTAATCGGAATAGAATGCGACATGTTCAGAAGTCAAATAATTCGAAAGTATGAATTTTGGGCAATTTTTCGCGCATATCGATACAATGATTATTGTTGTTATTTATATTTTCCGAGTCGATTAACTAGATATCGCAACGGATTTTTAAAGAATTTTTCATTGAAGTATTTCATAACATTTTTTGGTGAGTTACTGTAAAAAAAATTATTTTTGAAACCAGTCAAAAATTTTTGAAGTTTATAAATGAATTCAATTTCAATCAAAATCGAGGAAATAAAAAAATGACAAATTTTGGAGGAATAGAGATGAACAGGAAATAGAGAAAACGATTTTTTTTTGTCTTTTTAAAAGAAGAATAATAAAAGGAGCAATTGACATTAATAAATGGTAGAATTCAGTTGTTGCTCTTATTTTTATAAGATTATTATAAGAAGTATGTTAATTACTGGTGATTCGTCAGATGATTAAACAGTTTTTTGGGGTTGAAGATCTGGCGTTAGACTTGAGAACAATTTTTCGAATATTGATCCACTGAAGATCGAAACTGAATTACCGACTGTTGAAGAATAATCTAATGAAGATAAAGCCATAACGCGTCGGCTTCTTATCTAATACTGTCCTGCATAATCAGGAGATATTCATGAAGATTTCAACAGATAATTTTTTTAGGAAATTATTTATGCACCGATAAAATGGAAGCCATGAATTTTTGAAAAAATGATAAAAAGAGTATTTTTTCGAAAATTAAGACAGTTAAAAAAATTCTTTTCATCCCTCCACTTTAAATCGAAAATTCATAAGATAAATCGGTAATTGAGAACAATGCCAGCTTAATTTTACTGTCTTATTATAGAATTCTAATTGTCCAACCCCAGAGGCACTGTTTTCTATACAAAATAAAAATCTAGACTTTCGCGCGTAAAAAAGAGTACAGAAATGACGCGCATCAGTTGACGAACGGCAGAGGTGTTTTATTTGTAAATTATATTTTTGTTGACACTTAGTGGATTATTTACTTTCATAAGTTCTTGTTAACAACCAGGAAATTCATAATATTCACTGAATTTCGTGTTCCCTAATATTTTTAAGCTTCCACGTATGCATTTGTGACCTAACCTAATTGATTTCGAGCCTATATTTTGTCATTTAAATGAGTGAAAAATGGGAAAGTTTTCGGAGATCATCTGGCCGTCAGAATATTCTGATCTGAAGGTAAGTCCGGAATAATTTATCACCAGCTGGGAATCAAAATAAACTCCGAGTTCAGGGATCAACCAAATTACAACAAATTCTCTTTGTTCTAACCCTGTACTATTTTGCCATTGCCTTCTTCAACTCGAACTATTTTTAAATTTCAGAGAATCGAGGAACTTCTTGTCTGTGGAATATGTTACGACTACATGGAGACGTCGGTAATGACCCCATGTTCCCACAATTGTAAGTATTTTTGTTTTTACAGTAGAACCTCCAGTAGAAATAATTATTTGGGCTAATATGGAATTTCGAAAAGGCAAAGGGTCATGAATAAAAACACTACTTTTGATAACGCTAAATTCCTACACCCCTCTGTTTTCAGACTGTTCCCTCTGCATCAGAAAGTACCTGCACTACAAGAATCAGTGCCCAGCATGTTTTCAAGACACCTTTGAGAAGGATTTACACACTAATCGAATCCTCGACGAGATAATCCTCTACTTCTCAAAGATCCGGGACAGATTAGTCACCTGCATTTCAGGGGCAAAACGTGTCCTTCTGGACGATGCTCAAACGTCCCCGATATCACCACCAGTGCGTCCAGCACGATCCAACCACCAAAAATCCCCAGATTTCCGTCCAAAGCCAGAAACACCACCAGACGACTCTCCCAAACTCCCCCAGCCCCCATTCAAATCCCTGTGCAGTCCCAGTACAAGTGGCACCTCAAAGGTCGCCTCCTTCTTCACCTCAAAGTCCCCAAAGTTTGAAACTACCAGAACCCTCGTCCCTTGTCCTGTTTGCAGAGTGAAAATATCAGAGCTCCACATAAATCGGCACCTGGACGACTGCTTGAAGCGCCAGACCGAACCAAATCGTCCCCCAAGAGTCGAGACTAAACGAAAACCTCTTCCCAAACTTGTGTTCTGCCTGATGAAGGACACCGAGCTTAAGAAAAAATTGAAACTCCTGAATCTCTCCATCCGAGGCGACAGAAAGACCCTGGAGAACAGATATCACCGCTACTGCACCCTCTACAACGCAGAATGCGATAAAATATCACCCAGGAGTATTGAGGAGCTTCTGAAACAATGTGAGGATGAGGAGGAGCTCGAGAGAAAGACTCAGGCGGCAAAGTCAAGTGCTTCCAGACTCAATATCTCCAGGAACTCTAATCAAAACGTCATCGAAGCAGCGCAACGAGAGTACCTCGAATCCAACAAGGATAAATTCGATAATTTGATCAAGCAAATAAAGAGCAGAAAGACACCGAAACCTCCTGTCAGGCGTTCACTCATCAGTGATAATCAGAGTGTTAATGAGAATAACGATAATGATGAAAATAGTGCACATAATGAAAACAGTGAAAATCATGAAACTACTGAAAATAATGAACACAATGAAGATCATGAAAATAATGAAAATATCGTGAAGAGTCCAGATAAATGGAGCAAAGATATATTTGAGAATGCCTTCCAAAACAATGACTCGAATGACTCCTGTCTCCTTCAGACCTACACCAGTGAGCACCCCATGAATTTCCTGGCTCTTGGCATGAGTGACAACAGCTCGAGTCCAAAGAAAATGGATAAAATAATCGATGAATTACCTAGAGCATCAGTGGATAATACAATTAGTAATGAAATTACCAGGGGAGAAAGCCAATCGGTTTATGATCAGACGACTGATCCTGAGACCGATGACGATCAGGGGAACAAAGGGAGTTTGAAAAGAGCTAAATTGAGTTTGGAGGAGGAAAGGAGGATGAGTGAGGCGAGAATTTTGGCAATGACTATTGCTCATGACTTTTGCGATGATGATAGCAGTGATGCGGAGGCTAATGGGTCGGGAAGGGGGGACAAGGAGAATGACGAGGGGGAGAGTATTGCTGCTCGCAGACCTGTCAGGAAACGTAATCATCCGTCGAGATTTAGGGGTAACGAGGAGAGGGAACTGTCTAACAGGCTGACACCCATTGATGCACTCAGAGAGGAAATTAATGGGAATAAAGATACGTTGGCTAAAGGTGATGCCACGTTGAAGAGACGACGCAGGCGTAAGTGTGGGAGTGACCTCGAGGACCAGGCATTACCCCCTAGAAGACCTGTCCGAAAACGAGAGGCCAGTGGCTTGCAGCAGTGACTGATGGAGGGCTTCAGGGCATCAGGGCAGTACCAGTCTTTTAGCATTTCTTGTGGGTGACTGTAACTTACTGGATGAAATATTAGATTTATTATATTTTGACAGTTGCTGTTTTTTGGTTTTATTTTTCCTCCGGCGGCATTTGGGGTCCAGAGAATCTTGGGAGGATTTATCTTTCTGTTGAAGGGATTATTTTGAAGTTCTCGGCAGCTGTGAACAGTCGAGGAATTACAGGAGAATTATTTGAAAAAATCAGACCCTTTTAGGGTTTATTGTGATTTTTTCGCACATTTGTTTCTTCTAAATAAATTGTAGGACTGGTTTAAGTTTAATTCTAGTACTATGAGAATTTTATTAATTTTGCAATAATTGCAATTAAAAATTACGAAACATTAAGATATTTTTTTGGTTATGTAATCCTCGAAAATCATGACATCGATTTTCTTCTATGAAATTCAATTTTGGAGTTATTTTTAAAATAACTTTGATTTTCATAATAAATTTCATTGGGCTGGTCAAACAATTAAAAATGGAATTGATGGAATGGAAAGGATTTATAAATTCACATAAACACAATTGAATTGAATCGAGTATATTTTCAACAGCTGATGAAATATCTATCCAGCGCCTTCAATTTTATTTACACATCAACATTTGGTACAATTTCTTCAATAATCATAATTTTCCACATCCAAGGTAAATCGTGAGTTAAACACCATTAGTTTTGATATTCCTCACGCGACAATTCTAACATCCTAATAGAAACTAGCTATCACATTTATTTAACTCAACTTACCGCCAATTAGTAACGCCTCTTCATCGATAATCTAATTTGAACCCTAAGGACACTCGAAAAATTATCTTCGCCGACAAATATTTATTAGTTATGATCCACGCAGTGAATTCCCTCTCGTTAATCCACTGATTAATTAACCACAGGCCTATTTCAAATAAAAATACAGAGCCCCTAACAGTGAATCGCCCGAACACTTTCTCTCCTGTATTTACACTGCCTCACTTGAATAAAATCTGAATAAATACGAGCTCGAGATATCTCTCACAACGTTATTTTAATTTCCAACTTCAACATCGAACCTGTTGATTAAAACGCATTGGAATATCATACGTGATAATTTTCACAGCTATTTCGCCTCCATCCCAAGCATATTAATGATTGATTAGTGAAGGATCCTGAAGAGTTGCGAAGGAACAAAAGCTCACGTAGATCCAAGAGAATAATGACACATTGATTTTGCATTTTTTTTTCATGACTCCTTCAGAACCCTTCGACCCATGATTGATCGATATTCGCAATTTCCTAAAAAAAAAATGTAACAAAAAATTTATTGTAATACTCTACGGTGATACTCTCAATAATCTAGTTTGATTGACTCTTTGATTAGCACTCGCTCATTAAATTCCACCTCATTATTGCACGACGGTTAAAAATCCCTCACCGATTAAAAAATATTGCATTCTTTACACAATTCAACGGTGGCATAAATAATCTCTCCGTATTGATTTACATTAGGTCTTTTACGACGAATTAAAACATCTGAATGGACATGATTGCATTAACGATAGATTATAGTTATCATCTAACTTACGATCGATTATTCATCAAATAAATGCATATCTTTTGATTCAACATGACATTATTTCACGAGAAGAAACTACTATCGTAATACTCCCTCGGATTGAATTAAAATTTACACCGTTGATTCAACGGAATTAATCTGTCAACATCATTAATTAGTCGTATTTTTCCATAATTTGCTGTAGCAAGTGCTTCGTTACCATCTCACTACAGTCAGGCACTCCATTGCAAATTCAAATTCACAATGTCAATCCCTCTGTTATCCCCCTGAATTTAAAATTCTGTCGATCAGTGCTATTATTTAAGCTCGTTAAAAATCCCTCATTATCACGTTTCGGCTTTTTTTCTTGCGACAGTAATGCCAATGGAGCCTCGTATCTTCCTCAGAAGATCGATTATCTCAGACGTTGCCATTTCCTCCACACTCTCGTCATTCACCTGTGAAGAAGACGTGGGATGCATGCGTGATCAATAAACATGACGGATTGAAGTGGTTTGAGCGCCAATCGATTTTCAAGATTGAAATCTGAGGTAAAATTTTAATGAAAGTCGAGAGACCTCAGGACTTAAAAAAAAAATGACTCCTGAGAATTATAATTTCACTGGAAACATGAATGTTTAGTGCAAAATTACGCAAAGGTTTCCGAAATTATCAAAAGAATAGAAATTGGTCAATTATTTTTAATAATCAATGGATTTTACTCAAATCCGTGGAGAAAGTCACGATTTTTTTCTAATAACCAAACGGTCTTCTCCCATAATTGCTGTCAGAAAAATTTCATAGGGACTTGTCAAATTATGCAATACAGGATAGACCTAGGCAGATGTTAATTAATGAGCCTCTGGACAGGAGGATAATGAGTAATCCGCGGGCATTTCCATGAGACTTACCATAATTAATACATCTCCCTGCTTCAGTCTGCCATCCTTAGCTGCAACACTATCTGGATGCACCATCGATATAACTGTACCATTAACATCCGTCTGTAAACTGAAACCCAGTCGGCTATTCCATCCCCTTGTCAATTCTACCATGAATACCTGTGTCAGATAAACATGAGATTGAAATTTCTATTCATTAAGGCAATTAGCGTAAACGTGGGAAGCCTCCAGTGGGAGGTTTGTTAATTCAATTGATGGAGAAGTGAGTGAACTCGATTAGGAATTGATGAGTTACGAGAAGGAGGGGATGTGAATTTTTCAGACAATTTTTTATTGAGTGTTTTAAGAAAAAATTCAAGAGAAATATAATTTGAACTGAGATAAACCGAAACTTTTACAAATTTAATAAAAAAAAAGCTCTGTATTCAGAAAAAAAAACCTTTTTACTTGAATTGGTGAAAAAAGTGAAGGTAAGTAAAGATTTATTAGATAAAAAAAGAAATTCCCTCGACAAAAGAAGAAACTAGAGATAAAATCAGTGCTTCCACAAAGTTCATATCCTTCGAAAATAAAAACCCCTCAGAATGTTTCTTTCTTTTATGCGGAGAAAGCAGGAGAGATGAAAAGGTAATTCAGTCCCTTTCTCATCGAAATATACCCCCAGAAATGACTTTGAGGAAAAAGAAAGGAAATGTAATTGGTGTTTATACAGAGATTTGGATAACTTACGTCATATCCATCTCTCTGAAGGCTCTCCTCTCGCATTCTTTCCCGCTCATTGGGTTCAGCCATGTCTTCCTCGTCCTCTGGTGCAAACATCACTCCCTTCCACTTCAAGAGGCCCTTACTACCCCCTGGATCCTCACCGCTCAACACTTTTCCTGAAACGAAAAGGGAGGTGTGAATTGTTGACGTACCACTGCTCGAGATAATCCGCCATGTTATAACACTACATCCGCCTCTGATAAGAACATTATTATCACTGTAATGCTAATGACGTATTTTGACTCTGTATTTGGGTCACGTTCAGTGCCATTGGAGGGGTTTAATAGTTTTTAAATTGTTCGTGATTTAGGGGCGCCCAGTATATCTGAAAGCGCATAAAAATCGTGAGTGCTGTAAAATTGGTTCATTAGAGTCGTGAATATGCGCTACAATTTTCCACAGATTTCCAGACCTTCGTGATATCATTGGATTACAATTTTCGAAACTAGAGGACAACGCAAATTCTGATAATGGAGATTTGATGCTTTCCGCTGGTAACATTAATATCATACATTATCCATTTTTTTATCATTATTATATTATTCATTTATTTAGGCATATTTATATGAAGGTTCATATTTCATATAATTCATAATAAATGATTGTTTTTGTCTTATTGTAATAGACACGCGCGCGATCTTTTCCGATTTTCGAATATCGAGAAATATTTCTTGACTTATGAGAAACAGCAAAATTTTTTACAAGATCTCTTGGGGAAATGTCGGCATCGCTGTTAAATTTAGATATTCCTTGAAAATTTGCCGATTAGCTGAAGTGATTTATTATCTTCTACTTTTTCATTATGGAATTGATAATAAAAGTGTTCATGGTAGAGTTGAAATAAGGATTTCCCTATTGGATGTGATGGGTAATCAAATCAGGAAAGTACGGTTTCCCATAATCAATTCAATTTTAGATGCTATGTAAACTGCGTGAATTTATAGAAAGACTTATGCTAAAATTTCTCTTGGGACGGCAGAATCTCTTCTTCTTGACAGGCTTTTTTTCTTTCAGTGTGAGAGCGGAATAATTTATCAGGAGATTTTACGGTTTAAAAATTGTCATCGTCGAAAGGGGGTCGACTGGTTCTGTCAAATTTTGAATGGAGAACATAAAAAATGAATGTGTAAGGATTTTTTTTTCTCTGCAAGATATAATTTGATTGATAACAGTTTAATTATTTACGTTTCGAAGATGTCAATTCCATCTTAATTTTTTAACCGACATTGTGACATTAACTCCTTTGAAGTCGAAATAAGTAATCGAGAGAGTCTTAGCAGAAATAAATTAATAAACATTTCCCCATGCACAACCTTTGTCGGATTTATGTCTGAATAAATAATTCACCTACCTTAGGACTCTGAAAATATAATAAAAAATGGAAAGTAATGTGCTGACTCGAATAGCCAGAGAAAAGCTATAATATCGAGACAAAAAAGGAAATATTCAACAGATTCTATGCCATATAAATGCTTGTTAAAGCAAATTTCTGCCGCCGTTTGTCCTCTTTACTTTTAAATAATAAAACGGCATTCGTGGATTAAATTTTTATAAAAATAACGGGAATAGTTATCTCTCTGTTTAAAAAAAATCTATTTTTGGTGCAAACTTGTAATTTTTCAAAAGCATCTTTGAATAATAAAGACACGTTATAATTATTTGTGCTAATAAATTAATAAGCCCATTCCGAATGGTCGTTTGAGGCCAGAGATAGTAGAAAACTTTTAAATGAATCAATGCAAAATATGAAAGTAGAAAAAATCATCTGAAAAATGATACCATCATGTATTGGAGTAGAATATTTAATTGAATTTTTCGACTTTCTGTGAAATTGTATTTACCTGGAATGTCTTGATCACTGGAGTGAGATATTTTACTTTTGGCACCGTTATCACCACCCCCACATGTAGGATTGGCGCTCTGATACGCAGGATTTTTGTAGCTAAAGGCTTCACTATTAGTTCTGACAGAGGACATGATTGGTGGCATTGAAGCCGGCTCAGATGGCAAAGCGCTGTCTTCCGTGATCTCCCGATGGAGCTCCTCGATGTAATCGATCGTATTCTTACTGCCCTCAGGTATGATAATGGTCTCCTCCCTCTCTGACTCGAGACTGAATTGATAGTTGGGCTTTTCGAGGGGACCACCGAGATTTAGAAAGTTCGGACGTGACGGTTTACCCGAGTCAAACGAATCAGATTCGTCATACAGAGCTGGTGGATCGATTATGTCATCTCCAGTATCTTTAGCTATTTGGGTCTTTATCGAGCACTGATCACTGTCCGATGTGTCAACCTGACTGCCAGTTGACACCTGGTTCGATGAGTAAATCGGTTCTGAAAGAGATCGAATGTCATTCAATTATTGATAAATAATTCATCAATATTTGAATGCATGAACTATAGAAGAAACCTATAAAGTTCCACTCTTCAATAACCTGTGATGTTTAAAACCCATAGCAGTCTCTCTTAAAAGTAGCAAAACATCGGGCTTCACAGGCGAATTTTCCGCGATACGTTCCAGCACAGTTGAACTCAAAAGAGAAATAACTAAAAACTTTCCGGAAAAAAAGAACGGATAAAAACTTCACTCTGAAGTCCCCGAGAGCTCGTGGTTTCATTGAAACTTCGTAATTCAATTATTTGTGTGAATATTTTTGAATTGATAGGAGGATAAGAATTTAGCTTGCGTCAGGAAAACACTCGGGTATTTGTGATGCAAAGCGAGACGTTTTTTTTCAAACTATCGTATTTCCTTTAACTATTTCCACATCTATGCCGTTTTTCTCATTCTACTTGAATTCTAATTCATCTAATTTTCGGAATACGCCAATATCTTTTTTTGTTATTGAAGATTTTTTACAACCAATTGAGTTCCGAGCCCGTCACTGAATTGCTTGCTAATTTTTGTACAATTTCATTCTCTGTATTTCTGAAAAAAAATGATAATTTTTATGCAACAATACCGTTGTCTCGTTCACCAGTTGGTGTCCTCGAGGGTGGCCTTCTGAGTCTTCGAGGGGAATTGGTGGATGCACCTGATGATTGCTGACAGGTTGAGCCGTTTGATGTCCCTGGTGACAACTTGCGAACAGCCAGATCACAAAGCATGTCCATTGCCTCTTGTCTGGAATAATTTTTCACTTTTCGTAATTACCAAGTTTTTTCTCAACGGTGGGTGAAGGGATGAAGGGGAATTTTTTACGGGTCATCTCAGTGCGTTGGTTTAATTTCGGTGTTTTTTAATGGATAATTTTAATGACAGGCTCATTGTGGAATTCTGTCGTACCTCCTACTTTGGTTACGTCGACATTGTGGAATGCTGTTAATAACTTGGGACTCAGTTTCCAACTGTAATTATTGGGTAATTCTCAGATGTTTTGCGTTATGCTGACAACGAGAAATGAGCAGAACTTTGTAAACTGGAATTTTTTATTTGTCACGAGATCATTCTGTTTGGAAGGGGAAGACACGCACGAGAAATTTCTTAGCAGAAATATTGTTTTTCATTTTTATTTTTTCAAACGGATACCTTGGGGCTATTGTTTCTGCAAAAAATGATAGTTTCAAAAGAATAATAGCGATTCTATTCTGAAGGTTAAATATTGTATACAATAATATTTTAATAAAATATCTCGATCGCAGAAAAAATGTATTAAAAACAAAAATTTTTGTCTACTGCAATTCTCCAAAATTATCCGTTCAAAAATTGCATTTTGTGGGGGAATTTTTCGCACCGAAAAAAAGGAGATAAAAAACTCGGAAAAAATTTTAACCAAAAGATCTCAACGACACGATTCCCACAAAGAATGAAAAACCTCGTGATTTTTCCTGCCAAATATTTCCCACAGTAAATAGCCATGGAAAAAAAACGTTTGAATCGTGGTGAATTTTGTGTTTACCACATGAGAGAACTTTTCCATTTGGTTGTTCATCAGAGTAAAAGATTACAGAGTGTAAAAAAAATATTGAAGCCAAAGTGTTGATTTTCTATTCATCTCCATCACCGGAATAATTCGCCAACAATTGATGAATGAAGGGAAATGGAAAGGGAATGCTCACCGCAGACTGGTTCGAGGCGGACGAAGTGGATGATCGGGCTCAGTGGGTGACAATGCTGATACGGGGGTCTGTGCCAAGTCTCGATAAAGACGAAGTTTAACTCTTGGACCACATTGCCTGAGCAATGCAACTGCCTCCTCGTGGCTCATTGGTGACAGGGGTGCACCATCAACCGCAACAATCTTGTCGCCTGGCTGAATACGACCGTCGCTCAATGCTGGTTCGCGCACCAATGCCCTCACATAATGCCCCAAAGCACTGCTATCCACCTTACGTAGAGTGAAACCCAAACTTCCGCCCACTTTAGTCATCTCAATGTCAAATTCCTGAAAATCAAATACACTTCATTCTTATTCTGCCAAATTCTTTTTCGCTTCAAAACGAAAGCCTTGCAATCGCTCAAATTTAAGTTTCACTTTTTTTTTGTGCGTTATATCCAATTGAATGAATAAAAATCTTTATGATCGAAATTTTTTTGAAGATTTGGGTAAATTATTTGGTGCCAGTCCTGATCAGAAAAACTCGTCTCGAGATAAACGAGAAAAGTCTTGATAAAAACTTTGCTATATCTCCTTCGTCAAAGATACTCATCAAAAACTCCAACTTTTTATTTCAAAACTTCCACCAGTAATTTTTTCATTCAATAACGTGACATCTTCAAGCCACTTCAACACTTCTTTAATCAAGATACAGGCCCCAGGATTATTGATATAATCTCGACATAAAAAAGATTAAATGATTTTCCGGGGTTGCCTTTTGTTTTCAAATTAAAGTCCCCAAGAAATCCTGATAAAAACATTTCAACCTCATATCTAAATTTTAAAGAAGAATTAGAATCGAATAAAAATCTTTATTTCAACTTTTCCCTAGAAACTCTCACAATTTCCTCATTCTATCTAAATAGATATTTATTCGACTAAAATAAATCATTTTTCGGGTCGGGATTTTTTCACCGAAAATTCGACATGATAAATTGATCCGGCATCTTTTATCTCGATAAAGGGCACCGAAATGGAATTACATACCCCGCAAGGTTCGATCTGAAGTGGTGGAAGTGGATTGAGTAATCTCAAGGGTGGAGGCGGCTCACGACGGGCTGGAGGGGGTGGTGGTGCACCAGGGGGTGAAATATTTTGCTCATCCCCTGGGAGTCGACACACTAAAAGCTCCACCGTGCTCGATGTCGTTCGAAGTACCTCCAGTGCCTCCTGAATAGAGATTACAAAAGAAAAAACATAAAAAAAAAACAAAAGGATATCTTTACTTATTCTACGTAACAATCTCATTTATAATTAATAATATGGTTTGCAATGTAAATGAAATTTCGGATTAAAATAATTAAAGGAACTTAGACGATTGAGATGATTACAGCTAATCGTTTTCATATTCGACTTCATAAAAAAAAACTTTCTGGTTGTATTTTTAATACATTAAATGGATGAAAAATTCTTTCAGTGATAGTTCTCATCAAATAGTCTGGAATTGAAGGAATATACTGACGATTTCACAATAACATTATTTGTCGCTGACGAATATGCACTTATCCTATTTTACTACTACAGAATTCATCCTGACATATTTCTAGCTTTCAGGGGAGAATTAGTCATCCTGACATAAAAATAGTAAATTTGTCATTTGATGACCACAATGCCTCCATTGAGAAGCAATAGAGGGTTCACATCCGCTGATAGGAAATACATTCGTCTGATTTCTGTGTGATCCCTCGACAATTGATCGGGGTACAATGAGATCAGTTGCCTTCGCTTGAACTCACGTAGTTGGTGAGACCGGTGAGGGGAATTCCGTTTGCCGCAAGAAGAATGTCACCGGGTTGAAGTTTGTTGGATAGTGCCGCTGGCTGTTGAGGAAAGAGCCTTTTAACTCTCACTGGACCAGCGCTACCACCACCAGATACACTTAACCCAAGCCCACGGCTACTTTTCTGCAGGGTCACCCGAAACGTGCTCTCTGGAATGAAAAATTCAATCAATTGATGGTGAGTCCATGGCTCAGAAGTTTTTTCCTCCCTTTTTTCTTTTGCCTTTTTTTTTACTGGGGGCAACTTCTTGGGGTTTCTCCTAGTTTTGCCGCAGGGTGGAGGCTTTGTAGTGGTAACTGCTTCTCGATTTGTATTCGTGGAAAGTCACTTTGAGGGTTTTAAGGATGTTTAACAATTTTCAGTAAATCTACTTTTCTTCGGGCCTCAGGAAAACTCCATGATTTTTTTAGCCGAGTAAAAAATTAATAATGTTCTCTTCATGATTATGTATAAATATTCCTGTTCGATATAATTTTAAATATCAAAAATCCGACCGGAGATAATTCCTCGAGTGAATCGTAAAAATTCAATTTTTCGGATAATTTGAACTGAATGGAAAAGTTGTCTTTTCCTGATAAAATACTGTCTGGATATTTGAAAAAATAAATTTCTCTCGATGCGGTATTTCCTGAAACATCGAATTTTCCAGGAATAGAGAAGTCTTTTCGCTCACTTCACAACGGAAGCAGCGAATTGAAAACGAATGCATCTCTCCACTCCCCATGTGAACTTGTTCCACATGATTTTTTTTTTCACCAGTTTCTGAATGGAATTCCAGGTAGACCTCCCAGTGGATCACCGAGGACTTTCCGCCGGATATTGGAAAGGACCAAACTACTGACATATCGTTTCAACACATTGTTCAGATTACTGTAAATCCATGACAGAGAATTGAAATGCTCCCACAACGAAAGGTAATTTACATGAGCTGCGTCACGGGCAATTTTCCTCAGTACACAACGACGACACTCCCCTTATTTACATCTATTTACTAATTTTCTTGATTCCACAGTGAAATGATTTACTGCGGATCTCGTGAGACTGCCACAGTGAGGGTAACGAATTGCGCTTGGAATTTATTCCAGAAAACATCCAGAACTATAATTGCCTGCTGGAATGGGGGAAAAATGAATCAGGGAACAAACAAGCGCATGTCGGAAGTCAACTGCTGACGAGTCAATTTTTTTTTTACCGAAAGAGAAAAAATAGCGGAATGAGAAATAAAACTGGAAAAGAGTGGTTCAGCAAAACACAACGCAAATTGCTACGTCTGTCTCTGTGGCATAAAGAGATCGAAATTTCGCTTCCATTTATGATTTTGTTGGTTTCAATCTCAGCTTTCTACCGTTTTCACTGGACAAAAGGGAAAATTTGGCATCATATTCTATTTCTCATTGGTTGCTACTTCTCCATGTTCGAAGGAGAAATTCATGGGAATTTTCCCATGTATGGTTTCCAGTATTTATAACAATTCAAGTTCACGCGTGGAAAAACCATTAAACATTTTTCCCGCGACATTCGCGCCTGGAGCATTCACTATTTGCCACTGAAAATTCATAACAATTACCAATTTTTTTCAATTGTACCATAAAAAAATCATAAACATCAGGAAAATGCGGATAAATGAAAAATAAATGATTAACTGATCGATTAATTGAAAATGCATTGCGATTCAATACTCATCGATTTTTCGCTCAAATTTTTGATTTCATAATTTTGTGATGCAGATCCTCTCGTTCTCTATAAAATGTTGAATAAGTCATGCATGGATGCTTTACAGTAATTATTGCTGTAGTAATAATTGCTCTCCCGAGATATCGCATGAACAACTCCAAATCGAGGTAAAAATTCTCTTGATTTTTTATAAAATGGTTCGCCCTTTAATTCCCTCCGAGTAAGTGTTGCATTGAAGTTTTAACCCTGTTATCCCCTCCACGGGTGGTCTATTCAAAGCCCATCCATACACTGACTGACGATATAAATTGGCGCAAGTCAATTGAACGGATTCAGGCAACAGTAGATGCATAGAATCCAATGGAGGAATGAGGGGAGTGAGGGGGGTAACAGTATTCACGCTTGGTCAAATGGATGCAATAATGAACGCGCAGAGCCAATATCGATTGCTCCTCAAAATTGCCATTGCATGTGGGCTCTCTCCACCTGTACACAATTCGTATTCCAAATTCTTTATCCAACCCCCGTCAACCCCATCCCTTCCAACAGCTGTTTTGCCGTTTCAAGTACCATGATTTCCACCAATTTAACTCCATCCCCCCGGTTGGATGATAATGAGCGTCAGTCACGATTCCTCCGATGAATTTTCATGTTTGTAACGTCCGATAAAGTATGAATTGAACATTGCATAAAAGTCAAATCACCATCATCCCTGGATCACCGAAATTCCATTGCACTGTTACGAAATTATGCAGTGTAGAGTACAGTGTATGTGTGAAACACTTGATTTAAGTATATGTTGGTATTAAAATAAGTTTCATAATGTACTTGAATTAAATATAGAATATACTTGAATCTATCATTTAATTTTGATTTTATTTAGTCAATTTGAATCAAGTCGAAGGGTAGATTTGAGTTAACCCAATTTTAATTAATTGTTTGAAAAATATCCACTCCTTTGACCCGGATATATCGATTTCTTCCGCGAATTGATGGAATATACCTGCAAATGTCTTTGCTGGAGGAATTATTTTTACGACATTGGGTGGTTTTTTCTCTCAGTCCATATCGTTCACTTTTATTTGGATGTACGTGGGAAGCCCTCTGAAAGCTCTAAAATACTTGCTTCCCTTTTACAACCCCTCGGTATATCTCTCAAATGATGGTTTTCATTATTTTTCTATTCTGCGCTGGAGAGGAAAAAATGAATGAGAGAGAAAAAAAAGTTTTATTGAGTCATCAAACGAGTGAAACGACGTCACCATCGCTGGTCCTTTTATTCTCCAACCAGATGTGGCTGTTGCAGGCCTATCCCTACTACGTGGCAAAATAACAGGTTCGAGTGATGGTGTAGGATCAATGACGCACGTGAATATCGCGATATTTCATTCAAACAACTCGGTTTTCCTTTCTACATGCAAACCGCTGTTTGAACGGAGCATTTTTCGTTGGTTATGTGATACGATCTATTTCAGCAAAAAAAAAATAAGCTGTCTGATTTTTTTCCGCCCACAAAAAATACTGCAATCCAATCGTCATGTGAATATTTTGGCTGAGAGGGACTTCCTAGTTTTTTTTTTCGAAAAAGAAATTCCGGCGTTCGATAATTGGAAAATGTTTATACGATTCCTCAATTTTTATTTAATTCAATAAATTGCTGGCTGTTTTAATTGGTGGAAATGGATGGCGAATTTATGGAATTTTTGAAATATCAATTAATTGGGGAAATTTTGGCGGAAATACTTTGATAATTCAGTTATTTTAATCGGATGAAGGATTTGCTGGAATTTTTTATTAATTCTGCAGTTATTGCTTGAACTTTCTGATTAATATAAAATTCGGTGAAATTTAGTAGTTGATGTTCATTGATAATTTGGAAGTTGAATTTTCATATTCCAAATGCTCAGTAATTTACAGTTTTCTTGGATTTCCAGAGAAACTAGAAATTCAATGACTTATTTTCCTTCTAAATCAAATACAAGGACATTTGATTGCAAATAAAAATCAGTCGTCCATGAAATTTCAATTTTTTTTTCCAATGGCGTTCCATTTCTAATTATGAATTATTGCAATTACCCGGTAAAATATTATATCAACGGAAGGCTATGGCCTTCGACAATTGAAATCTCCGGTGTTTTTTTAAATTTCCATGTTGCGACCTTTTCATTCAAAGAAATTACGAAAACTTATGCCAATCATTAAAAACCAGAAATTCCATTGCTTTTTAATTCAATTTATTTGAAAATCAGTAAAATATCCGTGCTTTCAAAATAATGAGACTATAAAAATAATAGAATATCTAGTGAATTCATACAAGTTTCCTTCTGAATATTTACAGTCGATTAAAAATTCGATCAAGTCATAAAATGTTCATTACGTGAATTCTAATCAAATTTGACTGTCAACAAAAATTTATCACAATTTATCACATCCATAAAGTTGTAAACAATTTCATCGATTACGCGAAGAAATTCTCTAAAAAATTCAAACCAGCCACCAAAAACATCCTGAGAAAACATCCCCTCTTCCCCCCACTCCCATAACAATAAATAAAAGTAAGTGAACATGAAATGACTATTGCACCAAGAAACGAAAGAGATAAAAAAAAGAAAAATGTACGTGCACCGCTATTTTTTCGCTTATCTCGGTTTTCCTCGGACGTGTATGTGCAGTTGTGGCGAAAAAGGGGTGACAGGGGGTGGGAGGGGAAGTGGGGTAGAAGGAAAGGAAAGGGGATAGGATATTATGAGATGAACGAGTTAGACCCGTAAAGTGCAACAGTAGAAATCGAGAGGGTGTTAAGGTACGATAGCAACGAAACGCCGAACAATCCTGACAGCTATGAATTATCGCATTTTGTGGAGGAGTGGGTATTACAAGGAAGAGGGGTTAGAGGGGTGGGTACACCTGGAAAAAGAACTCTCCCCGGATGTCCTGGGGACCTCCCTATCTCTACTTTCTTTTCACCCAAAAAATTAATACTTGGATTTAGCATAATTCATACTTGACTCAAGTACACTGAGAAAAAATTGTCCATTGAACGCAATAAAAATTTTATTTCCGTCATTTTACACTGGAATTGCAAAAAAAAATTTATCGGACAATTAGGCAAAATTTTATTGGGAATTTTATTGGACACTGGGAAAATCTTTATCGCGTTAATACGAATCTAATTTTTATAAACAAACTGACATTTTTCGGCGAATCTGTACACGAAGGAAAATCTAATAATAATTACGTGGTAGAACGTAATTGAGATGTGAATGTTTTTTCAAGTGAATTCGAGGCTGGAGTACAGGCGGATGGTTTGTTTGATTTAATAAACTTGATTTTATAAATACTCATCCGAGTACATATTGATTTCGTTCGAATAAATGATTTTTCTGTCCGTATTTTTTGACGATATTTTTTGTGTAGTTTTTTTGCTGCATATCAATTTCAGCATAACAAACTAGAATTTCTTGCTGAATAACCA